AGCTCTGCATTTCTACCTGATCTTTAAGCAGGCTGAACTTCAGTCTGGGGACAGGTAAAAGGAGATATTCAAAGGCTCCACCTGGGAGTCCTGCTGGCTGAGTGAAACACATCCTTAAAGCACGCGAACGTCTTTCAGAAGAGCCGTTAAATGTGAAACGCTATAACTTGATTATTCTTTTTCTGGAGTCCTTTTGACAAACTCCTAAATTTTCAAAGAGTTACACGGGATTTAGACACACGCTGACTTTAATGTGAGTTGTGTGGCTAAAATCCCATGCAACTGCTAGAAAATTTAAGGACTGGTGCTTTTCCCAAGATGGACAACTGTTTTATTTCACTTGACAGAGTATGCAGAGTGAACAGACGCTACCATTTGCAGAGAAAAGGAAATCCCTAACCAGCCTCCTGCTCTCTGTAGCACCTTTCATCTGAGACTCTCAAAGAGCTGCATAAGAATAAAAAGTTCCACGATATCTGCATAAGTTAAATGCACGCTATCCCAATTGTACAGAGAAGTGCCCTTGGGGTCATCTTATTTTTTTTGTGCTGCCTGGATTCGTACAGCAAATGAGTATCAGAGCCGGGGAGTTTTGACCCTCAGCACCACTCGACAACACTTCCCAGGCAGTGAGCAGTTAGGTACATAGGATTCGTTGCTGTATTCAGTTGTGGGGTATAAGCCACAAAGCGCCCTAGCAAAACTCTCATTATGGGAGAAGAGTCTTGCCTTAATCTAATGATGCCATTTAAGATTTATGTGTCAGGCAAAATTTACTTTCCAAATGTAGGCAAAGGTAGAGAGAACTTGTCTTGCATTTTAATGAGAGAGAGATGTCTGAAGGACCAAGCATGCATCTGAGTTACTTCGGGCTTCACCCTAGCAGCCCTCTAGCCCAGTTCAAAACAGCATTCATTTGATCAAAAACAATGCCTAACCCAGCACTAACAAGATTTTGTTAAACCAAACTTCACAGAAAAGACATGGTGAGGAAAAGAGAGCGTCTTTGCAGGTGATCTTGAATTCAACACAGTTTGGGGCTTTTTTATTTATTTAAGGGGTGACATGCTGAATGCATTCATCGCACACATGCGTGTGCAGAAATATTGAATTGGCCTTTGCGTGTATGGTCCAGGTTTCTGGTAGGGACAAATGGCTTGAACTTTGCTTCCATGTTGGAAGTTGTACGTCTCGCTAAACACTCAAGCTGACATGCTTAACCTTGCCCTGCTAGAGTTTAGCTCCACTGTGGCTATTCATACGAGCAAAGGCCCAGATCCCCGGTGAGACTGAAATGGCTAACGAGCAGATGCCCGGTCCTGGAGTGGACAGATGTCAAGCTGCTCATTTTGCCCAAGACAGCAGCACATCTCGGTGTGCTGTAACAGTGCTTTAGGTGCCTTTGGCCTTTCAGGTTACTCAGGGTTATTGTGGATCACTTGCTTGGACTTTGATGCCTAAATCCTCCCCAGTTGGCACTTTGGCACCAAAGTGTTGTTTTTTTTTCTTGGTCTGGCCTAAAATTTGCACACTTGTCAGCACTCTTGGAGTCATGAATTGCGACTCTGTGCGTGTCTTTGCCCCCCTGGCGAATAATAGCTTAACCTCATCTGAAGTTACCTTCGGTGGGAGAAAGTCCTCTAGGTTTTAGACATTTGACGTGACATAATTTTACCATTTATCACAACACTAAAAAAGAAAAAGTCGAATTGACCACCATTTTTGCAGGGTCTATAATAGAATATCCTACTCCTAGCTCTTCAGAAGTAGTTATAAATAATGCATTCTTGCTCCAGAGCGGTGCTAATGACTGCTTTTTTAGAATGAGTTGGCTCTGGATAATTAGTTGAAAGTATTTTTCTGTGGCACAAATGTTCTCAGTTGCTGTACACATGGGCTTTGTGGTTGGATTTGAAAGTCACAGGGTTTAAACCAATACCTATTAAGGACAATAAAAGAGGGCCATTGATTGGAATACAAGGTGGCTTGATCCCAAACTGATAAATCTCACTTAGTGATTACTATTCCTCCAAATACCTGTGCCATCAAACATTGCTGGGGGCCCCTCCAAATCTGTTGCCAATTGAATGCCGATTCCACAGGGTTTGGTGTTGTTTTAAGGGGAAAACACTATAGATGTTTCTCTCTCTCCTTTTCCCTGTATTTTTCTTTATGGGTTTTTTTTTTTTTTAAGGTCCAATACTCTGTGTTTTTGGCACTGCTTCCAGCTCAAGTATATCACAGATTGGAATTCTCATTTTTAAGTTTATTTCTGTTCTTGCTTGAAAAACTGAATTAACAAACAATTGATTATCAGTTATAAACTGCAAAAACACCATCTGGTCCTTGAAATTAGCTAGATGGAAGTAAGGGGGGGGAAAAAACAGCAAATTCCCATTTGAGGAGCGTTTGCCAGTGGCATAAGAAAAAGGTCTCGTGTCAAGAAATTCCTAGTGAATTGTATGAAATGGCTCTGGCAGCTTGGCAGACGTCACAGGTGCGGTCTTTACCTTCAAGGTGGGGAAAGGTCCGGACGGTAGCTCTTGTCTGCAATGCTGGATGCGTGCACTCGATGCCGTAAAGCAGTGCAGGGCCAACCTTTTTGGCATGCCACAATTCGGGCAGTTGGCCTTGCAACCCAGCACAGAGCTGAAAGGATGCCCCCGGTCCCTGCACCGGTCCTGCTCATCCCAGCCCTAGGTGACAGCGCATTGCCCCAACAGCTATTCTGCTTCACCGGGCTGCTCTGACATATATTGTGTGCTGGGCATCTAAGGAGGGGAAAGGTAGCTTAAAGCCACCTGATCCCACTTCCATTTCTGGATCAGAGAAACCTGGAAACGTGTCCCAGCATCTTCTAATATCTCCGTGACCCCCTATGGCTACTCGGAGAGATGGGTCACGACTGGAGTCAGCAACCAAACAGGCATTGAATGTCAGTGTGGACGGGATGGGACGCTTTGGGAGCAGTCTTGTAATATAGCGTTAACAAAATATCTCCATTATAGATGCAATGGTCAGGTCAACCTTCATCAGACCTTTCTCCCTGCCACCACTCCCTTATTAGCTAACTGCTGTCGCCAGCTGCCTGTAACTTGAGCCCTCACCGATTTAATACAGCTTTCAATCACTGCCAATGGGGCTCACGCTTCAATATCATAACTGCTAAACATGCTGTGACAAATAATCTGAGGCTAAGCTTCCAGGACAGAGGAAATCGTTTTCCTCTTGAAATTAAAGTTGGTGCATAATGGAATGCAATAGGATGTTTCCAGCAGGAACATAGCCAGTCTGCCTAGTACATCTTGACTCCCTTTTTTGTGTTTTGCCGGAAGAAAAGCGCCGGGTGAAAGAAGTCATTTCCTAGAGTTCAGGATTTGCAATTTGCATTCCATAATCTCTTGGTCATTTAGCGGCAGATAATTTGTCATGGTTTGTTTTAGCTGTTGTGATATTGATATTTATTATGCAAATTGTATTTCCTACATCTTATTGTTCTGCATCCTATGAATACTTAAATTATTATAAACCTTTATACTTAATATGGGTCGTCCTTCAATTTGATGCTTGAGCAGCAGCGGGTCATAACGTACAATATCTTATAGGAGAGAATAAAATAAGTAATTAAAAATAGACAAACAAGATAGCCTGGTGCCTAATCACACAGAGGCAAATTGAGTTTCTATGCAGAGTCTCTTAAACCTGAGTTGTTTACCAGCATGAAAGTCCTTCTGGAGAGGGACAATCTACAGCGTCCTCGGCCGAGACAACTGCCACCCGGTAGATGGGAGGATAAATCGGGCTCGGTTGCAACGACCCTACCGGCGCGTGCGTCTTGTGAAACAGGGTGTTGGGAAGCAACGTGATGCACAGCCAGTTCATTCAATCTGTAAAGCAAAAGGAATCTGCATTTCCATGGGCTAAGATAAGAGCAGAGGTTTGAAAGGGGAGCGAGGTGGGGGGAGCAGCGTGCCCAGCGCTTGGCAATAGATGCGATTCTTCCCGGGTTGGAGGGGTGGAAAGAGGCCTGTGCTGGCAGAGCATCAGCAGGTCTGAATCCACACTGGAAGCAATTCAATCAGTAAAGGTTCTTTCCAAACCTTGAGCGCGATTCAATATTTGCCCGGAGCATTTTTATCGTTGGCCTCAGCAAAGGGAGACAGGGTGGTAAAGCTTAGCTGACAACTCCCCTGCCGTAGCTTTGCTTGGAATAACCTCGTTAAACTGACAACTCACCTGCCGTAGCTTTGCTTGGAATAACCTCGTTAAGCATGGTGGGAACACTTGACTGTCCCCCTCCTCCTCCTCTTTGCTAATGAGCGTGCAGACTCATATTATTTCTAAGGGATCATAAGAGAGGGACGATTGGTTTCTCTTTGCAATATGAGATGAATCCACTGATCAATAGCTAGATGCAGTAGTCACAGTCTATTAAGTCAGGCTTACTAGTCTGGAAGAGCAGTTCTCTGGGTTTGGTCTGGTTTAAAATGCATTGTGGAGGAGGAAGAGGAAGGATTATTAATTTTTGCAGTTTAAGACCTGTCAGAATCACTGTGCCAATGAAAATTTTCAGGGAGCCAGAAGCAATCAAATTGCTGACATCCCCTCCTATCTACTGCTCCCTGCCAATCCAGAAATACAGAGCGGGAGAAATGTGGAGCAGCCAGAGATACCCTGCCCCTCTCTCTCAGCAGTGTAGGAGCCCTGGTGCAGATAGCATGCTGTCAGGCCTGCAGGGAGGGTGCAAATGGCAGCAGAAAGGGGCGTGCAGGTGTCGTATCATAGCCAGCCCTTGATATCTCTCTCTACTGTCCTGGTCCAAGCCCCTACCCAGACTTGAACGTGTGCAGACTGGAGGACGTGTGGCAGGGGGGTCATTTTTATTGTAGGGGCTTGTGCAAGGATGGGCTGGGTGGAGGGGTGAGGTGTGGCAGGGGCTGGGGAGCAGAAAATGAGAATTAAATCAAAAGTGTGTGTCCCATTTGGTTTGCATCCAACAGCTCCTGGTTGACTGAAGAGTTTTGAAGGCTTCTGGTGAACCAGGAGAACCACGACAAGACCAGCCCGACCTGCCACGGCTGGAAATACCTGCTGGGCGACCTCGGGTAAGGTACGCAGTCTGGAAAACACAGACCCCGTTGTAAAGCATGGCAAGAGGCATGGATGCAAACACAGCAGTAGCATTACGGGGTGGCACCACAGCTGTTTGCTCCGAGTGGTGCATCTTGCTTTGTGCATCCCTTTCCCCAACTCCAGAAATGCACACCCGCTAACTCGGAGCGTGGCAAGCAGCACTGCCCTCTTCGCATGCTGGGAACCAGCAATTGAATGTCCTTGGGCTGCCTTTATCTGAGTTTGATGAGTCGGGGAGAGAGCACTAGATGATATCACGGCCTCCCTGGCTGTGTCTCAAAGAGCTAAGATGGGGATCTCGGGTTGCTAATGCAACCTCCTTCGTACCCTGTCTGTTTTCCTCTCCCACCTATTTATTAATGCTCCTTTCCCACTTTTAACATGTCTGCAGAGTAGGACAAGTCCGCTCTTGTAACATTGCTGAAAAGGACGCCTTCGCAGCCCGGTGTCAGTAGAGGCTGGCTAGGTTTTGGGGAGCTTGTCCAGGTTATGAAACACTGCAATGCACAATGTTCCTGCCATTGCTTGCGGTCCGCTGGCCTTTCTGATGTCACCGTTGACTGCTATTAGTAGTTGTGGGGCATTTTGAAGGGTTGGGAGTGTCTTCGGTCCTAGCATTGCTCCTTTCCATGGGCCAGGGACCTGTCTTATTCCAGCAACACAACCACCTGAGGCTCAGCTGGTCTAACTTACTGACTAGGCTGTGCCAGAGACCATACATCTATATACCGCTTTTGGCTTTACTGACATCAGCTGAGGCCCTGGCTTGCACTTGATCAAGAGGAGATGCACATGTGGGAGGTTAGGTAGATGCTCCTGGGTGAGTGAAATTCAGCAAGAAGTGAGCTAGGTAACTGCCTCCTGGGTTTGCTGCCCAGGGTTTGAATGCTTCTCCTGCCAGGGGTGAATCTTACCCTGATTCACGTATCCCAAGTCATCCTCTCTCTTCAGTGGAGCTCATGGTTCAACCTGACCCATACTGTCTTGCCTGCACAGGGGTTTTCATCCTCGATGGCTATGGCACGTTGAATTCACCTGGTCTCTAGTTGGGGCAAAGGCCTTGCTCCTCTTTGGTTACTTCCCATCTCCTGTGCCCCCCACGTGGCAGGCGCGGTGGATCTTGTGCCCCCGTGGGCTTGTTGAACCAAGCGTTGCAGTCTGGGAGGAGCCGTCTCCGACTCCGGTCCAAGGCAGCTCCCTCCTTGAATTGCCAGCGTGGCCTGTCTAGCTGGGAGGGTATTTCCTAACATCTTATCAGCAATCCTTGGCTCTTGCAAGAACTTCTGTTGGCCTTGAGGGTCAAGGTGATGTGGGAGGGCAGGGGCGGGGGAACCTGACTTGCACGTTTGCTTTCCCTGGCCAGACATGTTGCAGAAAACCAAGCTCAAGCTGTCCTGACTGTAGCAAGACTTGTATTTTTTGCATAGTTCTCACTGCTACGTCTTACAAGTAACGCTACTCCTCTACGAAATGTGAATCATGGACAGATTAACTAATTTATCACAGTGGCATGGTGCATCTCCCCCCCACCCCCAGCAACTGAGTTGTGAGCATTAGAAACAAGGAGGTACATTGTGTTATCTTCAGTTGTGCTTTCTCTTCCTTTCTGTGTTTTGGCATCCTCTTGTTTTGTCTTTAGAAACCAAAACAGCTCAGATGTCAGTGCTGGAACCAGTACACTTCTGCCGAAATAATGTCTCCCCCCACCCCCCAACCGGAGCAATGGATAGCATCAAAGAGACTCTTAACAAAGGGCTTTATACCCATTTAAAAGACTCAGACAAAGAGAGGAGCAAGAAATAACGGAACCGGTGCTTTGTTTTCTGCTTCTTGTTGGGGAGGTTGAGGTTTTAAATGCGTGCTCGGTAGGTGTTAAAAGCACTTCTTGTTTGGCTCGTAACAAACTACAACACGTTCCTGCTGCAAACAACCCAAAGCCCTCCCGGTCTGCTTCCTTCCCCCAGCCCTAACCCTAACCTGTGCTCCATGGGTAAGCAGAAGGCCAAAGAGACGCGAAGGGTGGGATACTCAGAAAGGCATCATGGTTGCTTGCTGCTAATGCTGCTGCAGCCGCCTTGGGCTGTAATATCTGATGCTACAGATGCCAGGAGTCAAGTCAGCACCTGGTGCGGCGTCAAGAGAGACTTGGAAGAATTGGAGGGCCTGGGTTTAGCACAGAGCCCTCCCGTCCCGGATCAAAATTCAAATGCAGGCGGTTCAGACAAGGCCAGATTCCCCTGGTGCGGACGCTCGCACTCCCAAATACACGCCGCTTTTTTTCAGCTTGCTGCGTGAGAAGGCGCTGGGCTTCCATGGAGCGGACCCGTCGTCCCCGCACCGTTTGGTGCACACGGGTAGCGCGTCGCTTGTGGACGAGCGAGAGCAAGTGTGCGCGGAGGGGCACTCGCTCGAGTAACCGAGCTGCGCGGATAGGCATCGCTTGACGTCAAACTGGCTTGAGCTCAAGAGCCGCCACGTGCTGGGGCTGACCTGGGTCCGACCTGCCAGGTGTCCTCGTCGCCCGGCAGAGTCCGCGGGGCCTGACCAGGGATTTCCCCCATTGTTCTTCCCTCCCGCCTTTCGGGTCCAGCCGGCTGTGACGCCCGACGATGCCTGATGCCCCTTCCTGCAAGCCGTGTCCATCCCTCCTTGCACCCTCACATCAGCGCTCCTGACCAAAGCAATCCCATGCGGCATCACTCTTATTTTTTTTTTGCAAAAAAAAATTATTTATTTTGCCAAAAAGAACTATTTTTTCGCAAAAAAATTATATATTTTGCAAAAAACCCCACTTTTTTTGGCAAAAAATTACATATTTTTTAATTTTTGCAAACATTTTTTTTTTTGCAAAAAAAATATATATTTTGCAAAAAAAAATAACCTTTTTGCAAAAAAAATTATTATTTTTGTAATCGTGCACTTTAGGTCCCCGGCGGTGCTGGTTTGCAAGGGTCGGGGCGCTGTGCACAAGTGGCGTGAGCTGTGCGCGCCCGTTTGGTGTGAGCTGTGCGCGTGCACAAGCGCGTGCCCGCGTGGCGCACGGGTTCGGTGCGCGGCGCGGCAGGACGGCACTTTCCCCCCGGTCCCCGGCGGGCGGTCGAGGGGCGTGGCCAGGG